GCAAGGTCATGCATTTAGGGACAAACAACAAGAATTTTTGCTACAAGCTGAGGACTTATCAGTTGGAAGTGAGAGAGGAGGAGAAAGACCTGGTGTACTGGTTGATCACAGGATGACTGTGAGCCATCAGTGTGATGCAGCCATGAAAAAGCTAATGTGGTCCAAGGATGCATCAGGCGAGGTATTTCCAGTAGACAGGGAAGTGTTAATATCATTAAACAAGGGACTGGTGAGACCTCATCTGGAATACTGTGTGCAATTCTAGTCTCCCATGTTTGAGAAATGAATTCTGGAACAGGTGCAGAGAAGTGCTACTAGGATGATCCGAGGAATGGAAAACCTATCTTATGAGACAAGACTCAAGGAATTTGGCTTGTTTAGCCTAACCAAAAGAAGGCTGAGGGGAAATATGATTGCTCTCTATAAATATATCAGAGGAATAAATACCAAGGAGGGAGAGTTATTTAAGTTAAGTGCCAGTGTGGACACAAGAACTAACTTCTATAAACTGGCCATACATAAATTTAGGCTAGAAATTAGATGAAGATTTCTCTACACTAGAGATGTGAAGTTCTGTAACAGTCTTCCAAGGGGACCAATGGGGGCAAAAACCTGACTGAACTTGATAAGTTTATGGAGGGAATGGTGTGATAAGATTGCCTACTATGACATGTGACTCATTGGCAACTGCCAGTAGCAAAAATCCCCAACTGCTGGAGACAAGATACTTGATGGGGAGGGCTCTGAGTTACTACAGAGAATTCTTTTCCAGCTATCTGCCTGGTGGTTCTTGCCCACATGTTCTGGTCTAACTGATCGCCATATTTGGGGTCGGAGAGGAATTTTCTCCCAGGTCAGATTGGCTGAAACCCTGGGTGTTTTTCACCTTCCTCTGCAGAATGGGGCCCAGGTGACTTGCAGGTTTAAATTAGGGTAAATGGTGAATTCTCTGTAACTTGAAGTCTTTAAACCATGATTTGAGGACTTCAGTAACTTAGCCAGATGTTAGGGGTGTATTTCAGGAGTCAATAGGTGAGATTCTGTGGCCTGCAAATGTGCAGGTGGTGAGACTAGATGATCATGATGGTCCCTTCTGACATTAAAGTCTGAGTTATATAACATGTATCTTCCTCTACGGGATCCCGTCTATCTTGGGATCTTAATTTGACCTCATCTACGCCTATGAGATCATTCTTCGAACCATGATGAAATGTTCTTTATTTTACTTATCTATTAATGTGGTCTTCATCACTGATATCACAGCCAGAAGGTGAGTGAGTTGCATGCCCTGATAGCTGAGCTGCCATTTACAAATTTTCACAAAGATAGGGCAGTTCTTAAACTTGCTCCCAGATTTTTATGAAAGTGTCTGAGATCCATTTCAACGAGAGAGTTTCTTTCTGAAACCTCATGCTAATAATTGGGAGTCTGTTACATGCTTTATATGCTACATGGGCTCTTGCATACTATTTAGATAGAACTAAAAGTCTTAGGAGACCATCTAGACCATTCCTTATGCAAATTATCATATGGGTCATAGTGTGTCCACTCAGATGGGTTTCCTGATGAGTTAAACAATGCATTTTGCAGTGTTATGAGTTACCTGAAATTCCTGATCCCTCTGTGCAGTCTCATTCTGCTAGAGCTGTAGCAATATCTTTTTGCATCACTCAAATATGTTCTTATTAGGGAAATTTGCAAGGCTGCCACTTGAAAGTCAGTGCACACTTTCACTAAACATGCTGAATCTTTCTTCTGGAGCACATGCCAAATTTGGCAGAGCAGTGTTGCAATCGTTATTTGATTAAGAGTCCATTTCTGTGTTTAGGGTTTTTCAGCATTACTTATTACTACTTAGCAGTAGTTTAACATGCAGAGCCATTCAAAAAAGAAATGAAGGTTGGTTACTTGTTACCAGACTTCTACAAGATGAGTCTGCATATTCACAATTCTTGCCCACCTTCCCTTTTTTTTCAGGGTATGTCTACTCTGCAATGTAAGCCCAAGGTTAGTAGAATTAGAGTTAGCAGACCCTGGATTTATTAATTTAGGGTTTGAGTGTTCTACACTCGGTAATCCCTGGTTAGGGAATGTTGAACTCTGGGTCCCAACCTGGGGCTCCCATCTCTGCACTACATTATGTGGACCCAAGGTCAGCCACCCATATCCCAGACTTCCTAGTACCCTCCAAAAAGGTGGCTGCTCTAGCCTTTTGTTTGTGGTTTAGTGTGGGAAGACTTGACTGTCCACCAAACTTGACTGTCCAAAGGACAAATAAAGTTGGCCTGTGGGATGTTTTTGGCAGACTGTCATAGTGCGAGTCCAGTGGGTCTTTGTCTACACTGCAAAGCAGAAGGACTTGAACCCTGGAACCCGACTTAACTGAGGCGCAACCCCTCCACCCTCATGGGGTCCTGGGACCTTGGGTCTGAGCCCTGGATTAGTGCAATTTGTGTGTAGATAGAAGGGGGGGTAGTCTTGAGCCTGAGTTTGAATTCTGGGCTTACATTGCAGTGTAGACATATCCTCAGAGTCCTGTTATGGTTGTCTGGGTTGGTGGTGGAAGGAACTGCGGCAGTAGAGGGTTCAATGCCCCTTATGTAGCCTCACCCTCTCATAATCAGAGACACTGAGAGGCGGAATAGAAGGCGCGGGTGAGGGGTGCACATGTGCTTCAGCAGGCACTGCTTTGAGAAGGTTCCATCGTTTGGCACCATCAGGTGGTGCAGTACCATAAGTGTGTATATGAAGTCATCTTGAAGAACTAGGATTAGAAGTAACCTTCATTTTTTCTGTTTCAGATTAAAAAGGGAATGTCCACATATAATCTTTGTCCTCATTAAAGTCTGTGTAGCAGAAGTCTACTTTTTGTTTTGATCTTTTACATTCTCTGACTATTTTGAAATGGAGCCTAACACATTTTTCTTTTGAAGTTTCAGGAAGAATCCTTGGTGGATGACTCATTGCTTCAAGATGATGATGAAGAGGAAGAGGATAATGAATCTCGTTCATGGAGAAGATGATTCAACTGATCAGAGAAAGTGCTGGAACTGTACCTACATTGCATTAGTATTACCTAATGTACTTTTGCTTGTTTGTACTAAAAGGTTTTTTGGTAAATGTGATGAAGTTGAATTTCAGAAATAGACTAAAAAGCAGCTGATCAATCCTGTATTTTGCCAGATTCATGTTTGAGTTGTTTCAGTAAATGATTGCTAAAGACATCTTATTAGGAACATATGCAATGTTTTTATTACATACTTCTCCTGAAAGTTAGAGAATTCTTTGGATTCTTTGTAATTTAATCAATTGGTCAAAAAAAAAAAAGACCAAGAGTTGTTATAACATAGATAATTTTTGTTCTATTCCAGATATGGAATGAAAATTTGCATTTAAAATCTTTGTGAATGTTTTCAGAAATGAATAGATAACAGTACTAAACTGAAGTCTCAAGTTATGTATTCATAATATTGCATAGTAGTATGCTTAGGCTTTACTATGTACTAGCCTTTTGTTGGATTTGTGTACGTATTTTACGTATGGGTTTTAATGATACAGTGTATGACTGCTTTGCATATAAGTCCTTATGACTTTAAGATGTTTAAAAAAATAAAGAAATGGAATGGTCTTTAAAAAAAAAAAAAAAGAAAAAAAAAAGAAAAAAAGCAATAACCAAAAAAGCTAAGACAATGGTCCTTGAAAATGGAAAAAAATAAAAAAGGAAAGAAGAAAGACCATTCCAAATGGTGACCCCCCCACCCCCATACTCACAAAAGGAGCTATAATCACTGTATTTTTTTTTTTTTTTTTTTTTTTTTTTTTTAAAAAATTATTATTTTTAAATTTTATTTTTTTTTTTTTTTTTTTTTTACATCGTCATATAAAAAACTGATAACTTGAAATGTGAAGTCTCATTTTTAGGTGATATACAATTGTATTTTAGTATATGGTTTTGCTGCATAAAAGCCTTGGAAACATATTTTAAATTTTAAAACTGATAACGTAATTTAACTCAAACTGCTTCAAATAGAATAACATTTAATGAATAAGAAGAGCATTTGTATGCATATACTGTGAACCTACAGAAGAAAACTTGATCCCACAAAGATATATGCACTAAAGAAATGTAACAGAAGAATACATTAAGAAAAGTGAATGGTAGGTATTATAGTCTTAAGAACTTTGAGCCTATATATTAATATATCTCCTTTGTCCTTGCAAAGATTTTCTTTCCCATTTTAAAACTACATTTGGGAAAATGATCAGTCCATACTATGGTCTGTTCATTTAGTTACTTTTTAAAACTTATAAATGTGAGAAATGCTAATAGAACTGAGAGCTTGCAGAAATACTAAATATGCACTTTTTCACAGGGCACTATGTTCTGCATTGGTTTCATAGGTTTGCAGTTCTTCTCTTCTTAGAAGGGAAAAAACCCTAAGACTTAGCCCTGTAGAAATATAGAAACTCCTATATCCAAAAGAAAGTGTTTCACATTCCTTGAAGTAGCATTCTGGCTCCTCCTCAGGTCTCTTGTAGGCATAGCAGCTATTGGTGCCTTGTGTATCCATCAGCCCTCAAATAAGTGTAATATAAATCCAATACACCTCTCATCAGACAGGTGCAGAAGTGGTAGTTGGATCTCATAATATTTTTCTCTGTGCACTCTTCATTTAATTGGGAGCAAATTACCACCACCTCTTAAGTCTTTTCTTGGAACATCATTACTCTGCAGGCAGCCTTTTTATTCCTAAAATAAGAGATGAAGGGAAATGGAAGTAGTATCATCCCTGAGGTAAGAGTGTCCCTCAGAGTAGCTTTCTAAATCGGTGGTCTGAAGGGTTTTTTGGTGTTAGTTCTGTAGGCCTGAATCTCAGTTCTTTTTCATAGTGTATGTATGTGTTCTCTCTTTCTCTCTGTGTGTACACCTTGTTGCAAAAATGCTCCATTGTTTTTGTATAGAACTTAGTTTGATATTGAAATGTCATAATTGTCTGTTTGTACGGTAACTTCTAATATTTGTCATAAGGACTTGAACGGTTTATTAGGGAAATTGACTTTTTTACCCTGAATTTCAGGCAAAATAAATTAATTTTAGATCCTATTTCTCCAGTATTCTAAATGAGCTATTCTGGTTCATTGAGTAAATACAAACTTTTCAACTTTTTATTTTTTAATTATTTAGTACTTCTGAAGGCTGCCAGTTTGAAGGGTGCCAGACTGAAATGTTGGAGACTGAAGATTTGTGTTTTTCCACATATCAGGTACTGCAGATGAGGACTGTGCATGCTCCATAGATTGCGTAGTTTGTTAGGGTGTAGGTTTTTATATGGGTCCATGTTCAAAGAAGCTGAAACTAAGTCACTTCACCTAGATATCCGATGGTCACAGCTTTTGGTGGTTGCTCAGTTGGACTGACTTCAAACTAGTGACACAGCTGTGTGAGATTCCATTTCCTATTAATCCCTTTAGCCATGTGGTCTTCCTATGAAAAACTTAGAATTATGTTCCTCCAAAATTAGGGTGAAAATGGAAAAATTGTTGCTGTCGTGTATTTTGTACTCTCTTTCTTGTCATATCTCTTCCAGTTACTGAAGAATACCAGGGTCACAATGCTTCAGCTCACTTTCTCACACAAAGAAACAAGCACAGCCATTTCCTCTCCCAACTAGAGTGTGCCACCGTTTGTGTTTAGTGCCCAGACACCCCCCCAGTTATAATAGTAATGATTAAGTTCTGTACAGCATATAGACCCTCCCACAATCTAAACTGGTTTCCCATTTACTTCTGAATCCTTTTCAAGCTGCCCTTTTTGATTTTTAGACACCTTATGGTTTGCTCCAAACTACATGCCATGTATGTCTGCCATCTTCCTGGTTCCTTCCTATTGCCTAGCACCAGAGTCCTCTTTGTCCTTTCACACAGTCTGACCACTGTTGAAAGTCATCACTTGAAGTCTCTCTCTTGTGGAGCAGCCTTCTTTTTTTATCTAACAAGCCATACATCTTACAACTTCCATTTCCCTACTGAGTTGATCCTCCTGAATGTGATTCTGCTCATGTATGCATGTGTGCTTAGCTAAATTGCTCTGTTTTGTATCCAACAGTTCTGCAAATGAATTTTGCTAATCTGAAACACCAAGAATGATTGCCTTGTTTTTTCCAGAAAACTTTTCCCAACTTCTAAGGAAAAAGGTAATTTTTTTCTTTCTTTAAGATGGTCTTTTGTTAGATGTTGGATGATGAAGGACTTAAGACAGAAAAATACAAAGCTGTAACTCATTGAAAACGTTGAGTTAAAAGAAAATGATGGGAAAACTATCGAAGTTGTGGGGTAACAGGAAGAGAAAGTCAAAGAAATTGTAACTTGTCTTTGTCTCAAAAGCCATGTACAAAAGACCTCCAGTGAGAATTTCTTTTAAATAATTCTTAAAGCCAGGGTTATAGAAATTGAGTCATGGGGGGGGGGTATAATTAACAAGTGAAAACTTGGTTTAAAGAAACAGGGAGGAAACATAGTTTATGTTGAAGAATGACATTTTGAAATCTTTTCAGTATTTAAACATTTTAAACTTTAACATCTTTCTCCTCTAAGATCTTGTATGTACAGCATGAGCAACGTCAGAAGAAGCCTCCTTGTACAGATCTGCCAATATATCTTAACCCTGTTGTGAAGGACCCACTCCTAGAGATGAAGTGGTAGCTTAATCTTCATAGATTGGCCTTTCGCATCTTTGCTCTGATAGAAAAACAGTAATGCTCCTCTAGTCAGTTGTGATGTTGGTTTTGTAACATGGATATTTGTCCACTAGGCAAAGCACAGCAAAACGCCATCAGATACAAAGAATTTTCCTCCTCCACTGATATGGCCCTGATGTGAATCAGTGACCTGGAAATGAAATGTCACACAGTTTATTACCAGTTCCCTGAGCCTTCTAATCCCACTAAGGATCTAATAAAAATTATTCCAAAACCTGTTGTTAATTTGCCTTTTTCTTTATAATTAGCTCACTTGATATCATTGACTGGGATTTTTGGATTTTCTCCTGCTTCGGCCACAAAGTGATCACAGGAACTGGCATAAGTTTCCATCAGTACACCTCATTTCCTGTATTACAGAATTGTCCAGGTGCATTGATTTTTTTCACCTTCCACCATCAGCTACTGGCCACTGGAGAAGGTAGCATTTTAGATGTAACCTAGTACAGCAGATCCTATGTTACTCTTGTTAACCAGTTAAATTACTGTGGTTAAAACAAATGGAATAAATAGCACAGGAATTTGAAGTTTCTTCAGAAAAATATTGGAGTTAATTTAGAGATAAGAGATCATTACCCTAATTTTGGTTAATATTTAGCCTCTTGTTTCTTGAGTTGGAATGGTGTTGATTTTTACAGCAAGTGTGCTGCTGCGGTAGCATCCCCATTATCATCTTCACATGCAGCTAGTTTATTAAGACAAAGAAAAAAGATTTCTCTTAGAAATTCTTCAGAAGAAATTTCAAGATGAATATGGTTTACTAGCTTTTCTTTGAAAAATCAAACTGATGATCTGATTCTTTGTGGAAATTAGGTCTTTAAGCATTGTGAACCCCTGGTAGGGCTTATGCATGTATCTTCATAGGGTTTTTAATGTGCTCAGCAGGATTGCTGCCTGGATACTACGTTTATTGGTGCTGTATAAGTATTATTGATCAATTGTCAAGCAAACATTTTGCAAATCATTTCTTTGTATATTTTCCCCAGTAGATAATTGCTTTGAAATTCATGCTGTCTGAGCTTTTAGCATTGTTATTAGATAATCAGAAGTTATTTGAATGTTAATATTGCATTTTTTTCTTTTCTTTGTCCAGATGAGTCAGGATTTCATTTTTCCAGTGGGCTTGTAATGCTGAGAGCCTATAGATGTCTTTGGAACTGCATATTACCTGATCCTGTATTACTTTGTTACTGACGTGGTCATATGTTCCCGACTTCCACCATACTCCAATAGAGTAATTCAGCTTTTTGCCTTTCTCTGACCAAGGTTGTGCAAGATTACATCCTGCAATGTTAGCTGCACAGATGTATGAACAGTATATTACCCTTTCCTATCAGCAGGTGGAGAGACATAAAATTGAGGAAGTCATTCTTCAGACATGATTTCTCTTTTAAGAAGAAAGTATCTATTGCAGCAATTTCCCTCATACTTCAGCCTTTTTGCGACATATATTGGAAAAATGTTTCTCATGAAGTCACTAATAATACTTACTTCATTTATTCAATACATTTTACAAAGACTAATCCTCAGAACACCCCTCTGTTGTAGGTTGCTGACTCGCATGTGAATTTTTATTGGAAGCTTGTCAGCAATTTATTTTCTTATAGAAAGCAGATCTGTTTATATCACCAAATCTATTAAGAAAAAGGGGGACATTAAACTAGAGGTATAACCTCTCTTGATAAGCAATGGTAGGACTATCTTTAACAGCTCACTTTGAATATTAGATGTGAAATCCACTTCAGTCATTTGGAAGCTGGTTCTTTTCCGGTCTTGGATGAGCATCAAAGCAGTTCCTCTGTTTTATCAATAAATGGTGACTCATGCTTTTCATAGGCTTCCATAGTGCCCTTCTAACTGTAAAGAAAGAAGGAAGTACTGTCAGATTTCTCCAAAATGTTTTCCTAATGATCTTCAGCTAGATGGAAGGTCGCTTTTCTCTGAGGCAAACTAAGCCTTCTCTCTATACAATAGTTTGCTCTCTACAATCTATGAAACTTGTCTTATCTCACTAAAGACCACAAATTATTCTTCAATTTATATAGACTTCTATTTAATAAAAAATATTTGAGCCAAATTCTGTTTTCTGTGTGTGGAAATAGAAGACATTTGACAAATATGTATCTTGATGTGCAGTCCATTCGGATTGCATGTAAAAGTCCATATTCTCATGCCAAGAGAATGCATCATCTTAATTCACATTTGCTATAGGTGGGGTATAGAAAAGTGCAGAAATGCCTTAAGGGCACAAGAATTCATCCTGCAGAACTTCTAAGCTCTGCAAGACAGTGCTGTATAAAAGCTGTGAAAGTATCATTTCCATTACAGCATCTTGTTTTTAACATGGGAAGAATGTCCTTTCAAAGCATTTTGAAGTCTCCTTCCTCTGAGGTTGTGAAACTTTTTTTTTTGAGTCTCGGATAAGGCACAGTGTTTTCTCATTTGAATGCTAGAGGGCACTATGGGTACACAAGTGAAACTGCCAAAAATTGGAAGTAATATGCTGTCATTTCAAACTTTTCCTGCTCATACAAATATTTGCAGTTCTTGCAGAAGATCGTGTCCATCGCTACCAGAGCAACAGAAATTCTATTTTTGTGAATGGACACTGGTTACACCTGCTTGTATTTAGCAACAGAGGGTCCTGTGGCACCTTTAAGACTAACAGAAGTATTGGGAGCATAAGCTTTCGTGGGTAAGAACCTCACTTCTTCAGATGCAAGTAATGGAAATCTCCAGAGGCAGGTATAAATCAGTATGGAGATAACGAGGTTAGTTCAATCAGGGAGGGTGAGGTGCTCTGCTAGCAGTAGAGGTGTGAACACCAAGGGAGGAGAAACTGTTTCTGTAGTTGGATAGCCATTCACAGTCTTTATTTAATCCTGATCTGATGGTGTCAAATTTGCAAATGAACTGGAGCTCAGCATTTAAACACCAATGATCAAATGTGGCCCTACACATTTAAATCTGGATAATATTGAGAAGTATTCCCGTCTTGCAGGATACCTACTCTTCCCCTCTCCCCCCCCACCACCATTCCTACTCCCCACCCTCTTCCTTTTTATAAATGAATTTATTGTATTTTTCTGAAGAGACCATGATGAAAACTGCAGTAAGATAATAGGTTAGGCAATTGCCTCCCGTTAGTCAAGGCTTTTTGTAAACTAATTATTTAATCTGCTGTAAGCCAGCCCTGGAATTAGGTACATATGCAGTGAGTGCAGAACTAAGTCACATCCCAATCAGAAGTACGATCTGTGTATGTGCAGTTTTGTTGTAGCCATGTTGGTCTCAGGATATTAGCGAATCAAAGTGGATGAGGTAATATCTTTCATTGGACCAACTTCTGTTGGTGAGAGAGACAAGCTTTTGAGTTTACACAGAACTCTTCATCAGCTCTGGGGAATGTGCTCAGAACCACGGCTAAATATAAGGTGGAACAGATGGTTCAGCGTAAGTAGTTAACGCACATTTCAAGGGATCATTCCAGGTGAAGTGGCCAGTTAACATCTCTCCAGTCATAGGGGGGAAAGGAGAAAAAGGATGGGGGGAAGGCTGGGAAGGGAGATTATAGATTGTAATAAACCATAAATCCAGCGTCTTTATTCAGTCCATGATTTTTAGTGGCTAGCAAAGTTATGAATTTAGGCTCCCTGTCTCATCTTTTGAAGGTGTGTGCAGGTTTCTTTTGAGGATGAGGACTGAGAGGTCACATATACAGTGACTGCTTTGTGAAAAGTGTTTATATAAACCACGCGGAAGAAACAACAAGCCAGGCTACTGATACAGGTATAAGGGAAATCTCCATCAACGTGATCTCAGTTTTGTGGCAGACTGATATTTCTAATGCTTTGGTTTATTCTCTAGCTCCACCTGGTTTCAGGAACCCTACATGCTGGGACTGGTACAAAGCAATTTACAGGAACCAATTTTTTGAGTAGATGCAGCCTTGAATTCCACTTAGGGGTGTGCGTGCCCAGTGCACCAGAGCTGGAGAATTTTGCTTAGCAGTACTTGTAAGAGGTGGTGCTCATGCATCATGCTCAGATACCCTCCTCTGGATATATGAGGTGGTGCCACCTTGACCTCCCCTCAGTTCCTTACCTACTCATGTCTGGAGTTGGAGCTCTCTATAGTTCCTAACCTCACAACCTCTATTCCTTAGTGACTTTTTTTGAACTGTATATAGTTCATTAGTACCATTAGTGTAGTATTAGTTAAATTTAGCTTAAGTATTTCCCTGGTGATGCCCCCACCAGGGTTTAAATATTGTCCGTCATGTAGAGGAGTGATCTCCAATAACAATCCCCACATCAAGAGCAGTGTTCGATTTGCAAATCGTTCATGAAATGGATTCAGGTGGTGAGGAATCTTCATCTAAAGTAGCACCTTCTTGAACAGACCATGCTATCTGCTTTGGCACCTGCATAGGACTGGAGGTCACCCTCGGGTTCTGGGAGTGCTGCTGTTTTGTGCTCTGGATCCAGCACCTCTCTGAAGAGATGGAGTCATTCCCTGTTGCGTGTGCCAAGGAAAAGGTTGCATAAGACCAACTGAGGCCGCCCAGGTTGTGTGGGGACTTGTCTGCCTCCTCCAGAAGGAGTGCAGAATGGAACAATGTGAATGCCGACACACAGGCTGGAGCAGGTCCTGTTAACCACTGCCCCAGTACTGGGGAGAATGGAAGGGGGGCAAAGACCCCGTTTTGTCGATTCTGGTTTCAGCCCTGGGGTGTCCGTTAAGTCCAGTACCAATGAGGGCGATACCAGCACTGGCTGTTTCTGTGCCAGTGGTGTATCAGGAGGCAATGGACCTCTGCTTTTCTGTCCTGACCCCTCCCTGGGTCCAGGACTTTTCCAAGGCAGTGTCGTTTGTAGTGCCGTTGTCTGGATAGACTGCTGAACCACGGCACTGCACACCAATGTTTCCCTTCCAGTCAGTGAAAGTGGTGCTGATGCCAGGCCCAAGGGACCACCTTAGCACTGGGAACTTCCTCAGCTCGCTGCTGTTTGCGCTGCTGATGTTACTGTGACAGCACTCACCACTCTCCATTTTGACATCAACAGTCAAGTCAGTACCACTGCTGATTTCGGAGTCAACTGCTTCTGGCACCAGAAACAATGGACGTGTACTTGGTGCTGGCAGTACTGGTTCCACCATCAGTGCCAGTTCTCTCCATTCTAGGCTATGGATGAGGCAGACCAGTTGCTCATAGCCTCAGGGCTGGCTCCACCCTTTATCCTCTGAAGCATGGGACTCCTTGTGTCCAGGTTGGGATCTTCCTCCTCCTGCTCTCCCATCACCTGACCCATATTGAGGGCTATTCGTGGAGCTCTGTGAGTACCAGCATTGGCAGTCATCTAGCATTCTAACGGGTCCCTGGCCGAGTGCCTAATGGCCACTAATGCCCTATCCATTCTAGTGATCTCCATGGCATCCAGGGAATGCTCCTTGGTCGTGGAAGTCCCACTCCTCATCTTGCTCTAAGGCGAGATCTTCGAGCAGATCTGTGGCAGTGTCTGTCAATTTGCTGCAGGCCCAGGCACTGGTGAACCTTCCCTCATAGAATCTTCAGAGTCTTCCTGTCCAGATCTGTCAGTCCTGGACCAGGATCCAGCTCTGGCACAGTTAACCACTTTGTCTTCATCCCTAGACAATTCTGCAATGCCTGGCTCTTCCTCTCCTTCAGTACAGGAGGATTTCAAGGCATATGAAGACCATGTGCAGCGTGTGACTGCTTCCCTGAGTATTCAAGTGGAGTTCCTGCAGGAGAATACCCATACATTATTGGATATCCTGCAGCCATCTGTCCCAGGAGAGTCATCCTCCCTATTAACAATATGCTCCTAGAGCCTGCTGGCTTCAGTACCATCTACTGTGAAGCAGTTGGAGAAACACTACTTCATTCTGGTGCACCCAACCCCAGATTCCTTGGTTGTAACAATGGTGAATAGTGCCCAGCAATGAAAATTTAAATCCACTCCTAAGTATAAAGCCTCTAAACAGATGGAACCTGACCGGTAACCCTCCTCTTCTTTTCAGATGCAGATTGTAAATAACTAGGCATTGCTATCCAAATACAACTTTGTGAACTGGACAGCAGTGTCTAACTTTGCAGAACAGCTGCCCAAAGCCTCGAGGGAGGAATATCGGGCGTTTATCGCCAATGGCTGCTTGGTGGCTAACATCATTGCAGTCTGCGCTGGACATCATGTATACTTCGGCCACAATGATGGCCTCAGAATTTGAGCATTGCTCCCGATGTGCAGCAAGATAGATAGGATTTACCCTTTAATGTCCGAGTGCTTTTTTTGGACAAGATAGATGAAGCTCTGCATTGCTTCAGGGATTCTAGGGCTACCCTACAGTCCTTGGACGTGTCCATGCCGGGAGTGCAGAGGTGCCACTATAGTGGTCAGCAGCAGCATTATGGTCCACAGTGTACATTTGGGCAGCCTTTCCCTCCCCCAAGACAATTTGACTATCCCAGAAAAGTGCATAGGTCGCAGCTAAAGAGGCATTTGGGTACAGGGTTTGGCCAGTTGACATGCTTTCCCATTTTGATTCCCTGATCCAGAGCAGTGGTCTAGTCGTGGCTCCCTTTTCCCCATCCCCTCCATTTGGGGACAGGCTGGCTTGCTTGCTTTCACAGTGCTTGGGTCTCAGTCACCATCGACAGCTGGGTCCTAAATACCATTAGATTGGGCTATGCCATCCCATTCCTTCCCTCCCTCTCATGAGATACTTCTCCTCAAGCAGGTCTGCTCTCTACTGGCTTTGGGAGCAGTGGAGGAGGTTCTGCTGGAACACCAGGGTCAGGGCTTCTATTCCTGGTATTTTCTGGTATCCAAATCCAAGGGAGGGGTAACACCAATTCTCGACCTTCACAGCCTCAACAGGTGTATCAGATACATGAGATTCTGAATGGTCACTCTATTGACCGTCCTCCCCACCTCAGAATGACTGTTTTGCTGTTCTGGGTCTTCGGGACACCTATTTTCATCCAGCCTTTACCAACCAGGTCTGTTGTCACCAATGCCTCCTTGATGGGCTGGAGAGCACATCTGGGGTTGCTGAAAGTTCAGGATCATGGTCCGAACAGGAGGCCTCACTGCATATCAACATGCTGGAGCTTCAGGCCATCCACAGTGCCTGTCACGTTTCTCTGGACCGTATTGGGCTCAGTGGTTCACATACTTACCATCAATATCACCATGATGTATCATGAATAGGCAAAGGGGAGTATACTACAGGGTGCTCTGCTAAGAGGCAATCAAGTTGTGACAGTTCTACATCGAGGAAAGTATCACTCTGATAACTGATCACTTGCTTGGGGTCTAGAGTCATCTTATGGACCATCTCAGAAGGAACTTTTTCCCGAGTCATAAGTGGTCCCTGAAGCCAAGTGTGCTCTGGGCCATCTTGGGGTATTCTGATGATTGACCTGTTTGCTCCAAGGAACAGCAAGAAATGTCATCTGTTCTGCTCTTGAGGGGGGCCTCAGTCTGGGTTCCCTGTCTGTCACTTTCCACCTTAGCTGGCAGTTGGCTGTCCTGTATGCTTTCCCCCCCAAACTCTATCATCCCACAGGTTGTTGTCAAGCTGAAGGTGGATCGGGCCGAGCTCATTGTTATTGCCCTGATATGGTTGAGGCAGTTGAGGCATGGTTTATGT